CGGCATCAAATTCAACTCGATGCAGATACCTTTGCTGAAAAACGTTTGTAAAGTGCAAATTTTAAAATTTCCCCAGCCGTCCAACCTGTCACGAGGAAAAATGGCCGAATTTTAGTGAAAAAGCGTGTACATGTCAGCGCTCGGCGGTTATCACTTGGCGTATCCGAGCACCGAGGACAAAGCCATTCGAATGCAGAGCCACTGACGCAGCCTTCCTGTCGTCGTCATTTTCCCATGGCACATTCTACATTTATGCAGAGCAGCTCTTTTAACGAGCGGGTCTCCATCGCGGAGTGTGTTCTGGTCTGGTGGCGGCCCCAGCAGTGGCTGCGCCTCGGCTCGGCCCCTAACACTCGCCTTCACCAATCATCTGCCAAGTCGTTTTAATCAACTCGCCGGCCGGCTGTCGTCTCGTCGCTCACAGCTGCAATTTTGCCAAAAGCACCGCACATTGCCTAATTAAAACGTCCATCGCCTAATTATTCTGAATCATAACAAATTCAAAATTAGAATTGAAAACAAAAATGCTTCCAAAGGTTGCTTTCGGAGCTCTAAATTGACGTGTTATGTTCAAATTTGCATGAATCATGATTTTTTAATTGAAATTTACTTCAAAATTGTCAAGAACTGTTTAAAATCAAAAATAAAAAGGCCTAAAATCACGTTTGGAAAAAAAAATCGCAGACAGACAATTCTGATTATTTTGCGAACACCTGAAACACCATTATTTGGAAGTCAAGAGCTGCAATTTTCCAAGAGTTGAATCAAGGCAATCAAGGTGATTTTGATTTTTTTTTATTATCTAGAAAATTAACTAAAATATGTTGAAATTCTCTATTTTTTGCTTGATTATAAAAACATTTGCCATACTTCTACTAGAAGAATATTTTTTTTAATTATTAATTTCTAATTGAATTAAAAAAATAACTAATTTTATTGATAATTTCCATCTTTTTTTATAAAAATTAATAATTATCTTAAAAAATGTCAAAATATAGGAAATTATTTCACTTTAAAAGACCGTTTCAAAATTGTTCTGTCCTATTCAATGCTGTGTGTGAATGATTTTGCTGCAGCTGCTTTTTGTCCGCTCTCAATTATCGCAGGCGATATTGGCTCTCTGTAGCCGCATTCCGACACACACACTCTCATGATTTTTACTCAATGGTTTTTGCCTCTATAATCAGCCGCGCCACTCCTGCCGGACAATAATAATAATAACCGCAGCACCGAGAGAAGAGACCACTTCTTCTTCTTTTCGTCCTCTTTCTCGAAAAATAATTTCGCCCTTAATCACGAAATTTGTATCGATGCCCTCTTCTGCGTTTCTTTCCCATGTAATTTCATTTGCGCAGGCCAGTGTGTATATTTAATGACGCCTAATTATTTTTCAGCGCGGCAATCATCTCCAAATATAATTACCCGACGCAGAAATTGCGTAATTTTCGCACTAAATTGTTACTCGACATAATCCACCCGATTTTTGTACGGAAAATGTAATTATTATTGCCGCTTCAATTGCACCGCGGGCCTACAATGTACACAGAGTATGCTTGAAATCAAGTGTTTCTGGGCAATATAATTATAATGTAATATTTTATTTAGGGTGATTGGAGCTCAAGGCAAAGAGATTAAATCTAAAATTAACCGTTAAAGGAATTATTTCAGATCTGATGAATCTAAAAAAAAAGAAGATGTGAAATTTCCATAAAAATCTAAGTAAGAAGTAACTATGCAACCTGCTTAACAATTTCGATATTTGAGCAGATAAGTAAAATAATTATGATTTTTCTATGATGCATGAATATTTGGCAATAGAGTGATTTATCTTTACAATTTAAATTTCATTTTAAAGAGAATAATTTAAACAAATTGGTTTGTTTAAAAGAATTAGGCTAAACCAAAGCTGTGCTAAATTGAAAGTATAAAAAAATATTAAATTAAAAAGCTCTTTTGAAGAGCTCAGAACTTGAAGAACTATAAAGAATGTAAACGTTGTGTATTTTTTTCTAGAATTGAAAAACAAATAAAATTCAGTGGTTGTCAAGGATTTGAACATGATTGTCGGAGGAAGTAATTGCGAGTGGACGCAATTGTCCGATTAATTCTCGTTTTCTTGTTAGTAAATTTCATCAGAGAACATTATTTTCAGCTTTTAGCCGCACTAGATCACTGGCGCGTTTTTCTGTCTTTTTAACAAGCGCCGTGCGCAAATAATACATAAGCAAGCGGACGCCGGCCGGCTTTTTTCGCAAACACCCCGCGCAACATTATTATTCCAGCGCTGCGAACAATGCTACATTAAATAATCTCGTGATTACAGTCGCAGAGAACACGCTCGCGTCGTTTAGGTCGTCGCTAAACCTTGACCCGCCGCCGCGAGATCGGCCGGACGGTCGGTCGGTCGGTTTTATTAAAAATCCACCGCCTTAATAGCGCATTGTGTATAATTGAAAGCAGCAGCACGCTTTAATTAAGCACGAGTGCCTCCTTAATAGGCAAATCGACCGTCCCCTTCGACGTGCGTGTTGCCTACACACAACAAGAAAAGAACTTTTATCTGGTAACATTAAATTTTAATTTCTTAACATGTTTTTATTAATATATTTTAGATTTTGTAGCATAAAATTTAATATTAATTTATTAAATTAAGTTTTACATTTTTTATTATTATTATATTTTTAAATGAAATCCCTGTTATAGCTTTTTTTAACATTTAAATGCAAAGGTATGCAAGAGTTTTACATTAATAAAAAAGACAAAAAAAAATCTTAGCTTCTTTTAAAAATTACTTGAAGTCGCGATTTGCGAAAATCCAGAGTTAAAATTGAATTATTTTAATTTTTAATGGGAAATGACTTTTGAACTGACGATGTTTTGCTATTGATTATGACCATAAATTAATCTAAACTTGTAACAGTTAATTCATCATAGCGTGGAAACATGGTTTGGAATTTATGAAAATTCCTGAAAATCGGTCGGCGAGCACAAAAGACGGGCATGGAAAGAACAACACCGTGGCCTGGCTGTTGACAGACCGGCCTAAGAAAAACATCCTCGCAGCTTCGGAAATTCGAGTCAACAAGAGCGCAGACTTAATGGACGGTAAATTAAGCAAACACGGCTGCGGCGGCGCGTATATTTATCCTCGATAAATATTAGACCTGGCCCGAGAATTCCCAGAGCCCCACGTGCGTTCTCCATCAAAGACCCGTCCCAATATTTTTCAACTCATGAATATTTAAATTGTGATTTTCGGCATGCAATCTGGTTTCCGACATCTGTGGGTCAGCAGGAGAAGAAATCGTGCGTTTTTTTACTTGAATCCGATTGTCTTGAACGAGAATAAAAAATCTCAACAGGTGAGTTATGAATCGCGTGTGTTGCGCAAGACTTTGCTAGGAACTAGATTGATTTTTCAGGTGGCGAGAAACAAATGCGGTTATTAATTTGAGCTGCAGATTATAGGCTGCGAGCGGGTGTCGTAAAATTTAACGATGCCACTCTCGAGGGCTGCGCTGCTCTTTGATACGAGTAATAATTCAATAATAAAGTTTCGGACCGAAATTATGAACTGCCGAGCGAGTTGCGCAAGAAAGAAAAGACGACGTGACGAGTCGATTATTCAAAGGTGCGCGTCGCGAGAGACAAAATATTTGACAGAAAACGTCAGAAGCTAATGAATGATACTGTATCAGGTGAAATGGAACATTTTTGTAATTGATGAGCTCCAAAAAAGGAGAGTTAAAAAGCAACTGGAATTAACAAAGACGTAAAAAATTTAAAATTACATATTTTCCATTTTTATAAAAATGAAAAATACAAAATTTCCTTTCGAAATCAGAAATTTAACATTAACCCTTGAGTGCGAAGGCGGGGTCCTCCGGGTACCCCAAAGCATGTTTTGTGCATTTTTAAATAGGAAAACATGCAATGAAAAAAATGAAAAAAATTGAATTTGATTTTTAAGGGAATCTGATCATATTAACCAAGGAAAATATTTATTTTGACCAACAGTTGAGTTTTTAGGAAGGGATTTTTGAAAATTTAGGCATTGTTTAGGCGCTAGTGCAAAGGCGAGGTACTCCGAGTACCCCAGTCGACGGAAAACAAAAACAACTGTAACTTCCACAGTTTTTGAGATAGAGATTTGAAATTTGGAGGGGATGTTCTTCAATCATCCCTCTAGTGATAAAAATAGTCAAATTTCATCCCCTAATTTTTTCATCCCCCAAACCACCCCTTTTTTGGAAAATATACAATTTTGAAGCCTGGGCTAAAAATTATAGCTGCTAAACATGATATACACCACGCAGGGGGTTGGAAGAGGGGTGAAGGGGGTGAAAGTACCTTACCAACAAGAATTTTTGTCATTCTTATTCACATTTGTGAGGAAAAAACATATAAAATGAGTTATTATTGAAAAAAACTACCCCTGTAAGACAATTAGGGGGTTTTTAGGGGGTGAAAATAATTGGTCAGTAATTGAATTATATAAGGGATGATTAGGGACAGTCTTGATATTTCGGAAATCTTCATAATATACAATTAAATGTGCCAAAAATAACAGTTTGGAACAAAAGGGGTGCATTAGGGGTTGAAAATAATAAGGGGTGAAATTTTGACACTTTCACTTTAGAGTGGTGAATTAAGCAACAACCCGTCAAAATTTCAGCTTTTTATCCCAAAAATTACGTTTGTTACAACGCTTTTTGTATTTTGGGGTCCTCCCGGTACCCCGCCTTCGCACTCGCGACGTTTCAATATAGCCTTCCTAGTCAAGGGTTAAGTAGCTTTTCCAAAATTTTCTCATTCTAAATAACAAATTATTTAAAATTTAGTCAACTCTGCATCATTTTGTCTCATATTCTGTAGAATTTATTTAATTCATGTTTCTCCCTAAATGTTAATTCTTTCTAATTTTCTATCGATCAATTTTGGAAGCGGGCACATTTTCCATGAAAATACAATAGAAAAAATTAAAATAAAAAGGTACTTACCAGTGACGGGGTTGATCTGGAAGCTGTTGTTGGCCGGGATGAGGCTGTAGCGGAGGGAAGCGTTGTTGTCCAAGTCCTTGTCCGTCGCCGAAATGGTGCCCACAGAAGTTCCCGCTTCCAAATTCTCCCTGACCACAAAGTGGTAGGACTCTTTGGCGAATTCGGGTGCGTTGTCATTCGAGTCGAGCACCACAACAACAATGCTGGCGGTGGCTGTGCCCGCTGGCGAGCCGTTGTCGGTGGCCAACACCTTCAGCAAGTACCTGTCCTGCGTTTCTCTGTCCAGCGGTTCCCTGAAGAGGAGATGAATTTAAGTTAATGTTACTGAATAAACGATTTTAATAAAGAATATGTATTTTGAATAAAAGTTTGCAAGTTTTGAGCATAAAAATTTATTTAAAAAAAAAAATTTAAAAAAATGATCAATTGTACGTAAGGAAATTACTTAATTAAACTTTTGAGAAAAGTGCAGTAAAAACTTTAATAGCAAAATTTGAATAACTGATTTTTTATTTTTAATTAACTTCTTTGAAAGTAAGTTTCAACATAAATTTTGAAAACAATCAAATTTATTCTTATTAATTTTATTTTACTTCCCAAATATGATAGCAAAATGAATAGCCAAAAACTTAAATTAGTACTTTTGACTTATCGGCCTTATCGCCTTTTACGTGGAATTACGTTCCGAGACGCGAGATAATTCTCAAAAAGCTAAAAACATTTCATTTTTACATATCTTTTCTTCAAAAAATGACGTATTGCTGTTTTAGGAACATGATATTTAATCACCACAAGAAAAGAGTTTAAACAAAATATACTTGGATTTAAAATTTATAACATTGGTTGAAAAAAAATTATAATTAAAATTAAACCAAACTAGGAGCTCTGCTTTCTATGTATTTTCTTTTTTAAAACAATGACGTTATGCAACCTGCACGTCAAAGGTCTGTCCCGCAGGTTGCATAAGCACACCACCCATTAGGAACGTCCTCTGTTTTTCAGTTTCTCGCGGTCATTTCGATTATTATTTGCTTTGGCCGCGCTAATCATTATCGAGCGGCAAAAAGCGCGAGTTCGGCGAATCGGCTTTTTTCCGAGGTGCGCCTCGCGTGAGCAGCAAATCACCGAAAAAAAACCGAAATTCGCCCTCCGGCGGATGCGGCGACACGTCACACACACACACACACACAATACCAAATAACGAGCAAAAAGTTTCGGCCATTCCGAGAAACGGCGCATTTACCTGAGATAGACGGCACCGCTGTTGGGGAAGATGCCAAAGTGCGCGTCGGCGCCGCCCAGCAGGCGGTAGGTGAGTCTGGCGTTGTTGCCCGTGTCCTTATCGCTGGCCGCGACCTGCACGACCTGCGAGTTGGCGGGCAGCGACTCGGGGACGCGCACCGTGTACTCGGGCCGCTCGAACGTGGGCGGATTGTCGTTGGCGTCCTGCACCTCCACCAGCACGCTCAGGTTGGCGCTCATCTGGCGTTCGGCGCCGCGGTCCGACGCCTGCACCACCAGCGTGAACCGCTGCGACATCTCAAAGTCGAGCGCCTTCGCCAGGGTCAGCTGCCCGCCCTTGGCGTCCACGCGAAACACGCCGCCTGGGTTCACCGGCAGCGAGTAGCGCACCTCGCCGTTCTCGCCCGAGTCCGGGTCTCGAGCGTGCGCCGCGTAAATCGCAGTGCCCAGGTCCACGTTCTCCGGAACGGAAATGCGCACCGATGGCGAGTCAAACTCGGGAGCGTTGTCGTTCACGTCTTGGATCGCGATGTTCACCTGTCGAAAAGAAAAGGGTAGTTTTTTAGCAAAGCATGGCAATCATAAATTAAGTCAATTTTATAATAACATAGAATATTATTAAACAAATTAGAAAATTTAAAAATATTTTTTTTATCGTATTTATCAATTTATTCCTTATTTGTGTAATTGTAATGATAAATTTATTATTTGTTTATATAATTTTTTTTTATCAACATTTAAAACCCTTCAAAAAATATGTTTGGAGTAGCAAATCAATGCAATAAAAAAAAATTTACTTTCTTATTCAATAAATTTTGTGCAGATCTTGGAAATTAGAAATATTATTGTAAAATTTATCTAGAAGGTCAACGTTCATGGTTATTAAAATGTATTATTTAGTGACAGCAAAAAATTGTTAGCTATAAATTATAATTAAATCTAAAAATTAAGATATTTCCATTAAATTTTATGAAAGCTAGAATATAATCTCAAATATGTATGTATATACAAGTATTCAAATAAATTCAACTTGCTTCTAGCACAGTTGAACTTACTACTGAGGGTTCACGACAAAAAAAACGAGCCAAAAATGCTTTCAAATTTAAAAATTTAACAACCATACTAAATATTTAATAGAACATTTTTAACATCAGTTGAATATTTTGTTTAAAGTCAATAAAAAACACTTGATTTGACTTGATTCATACTGCTTACTTGATTATGATTAATAAAATGTGAGAAAATTGAAGTAATTGCTAGCAATTGTTTCCAGCAGATTGCTAAGATTTTCAGCTTTTATTCTTGTTTTAATACTACATTTTTTGTTGCATAATTCTTTAAAATGTGCACTTAAAATTATTCATTATAGATTTTTTTATACGTATCCACAATTGAAATTTTTCATAATTAATGCACATTCAAGTACTTACATTTACACATTATTACTATATTACTGTCAATGAAGGGGTGTGGAGAAAATTTTTAATAATAATAATAATAAATAGTGCTTCATTCTTTAAATTTTTTAACCCTAAATTATAAAAAATATTGATAACATTTTAGTAACAATAACTAGCTGTAGATTTTATTAAAGTGAAAAAAAAAAATTTCTTTTTAGTCTTAAATTAATATAGGTAAATGAAATTTTGCAAAAAAATCTTCTAAAATACTTATACACTACCAGTAATTTTTGTTTTTAATTATTCAGTTCTGATTCAGTTCCAAAATAAACACATTGTTAAAAAAATACTTTCAAAGTAAGAAAAAGTGAAAAAAAAATAATAAAAGAACTATTTATTTGAAAACTAATTTCTTGAAAAAATAAATTTAATTTAATGATAAGCAAGATTGTCTTACCTGGCTGTGTCCATAGGACGGCGGGTCTCCGCTCATGGCCTGGACGTTGAGCAGCACCGAAGGGTGCGACTCGTGGTCGAGGGCGGCCGAGGTGCGGATGGTGCCGGACAAGGGGTCGATGCTGAAGTAGCCGTTGGGGTCACCCGAGTAGATGGAGTAGCGCACAACGCCCGAGCCTGCAACAAGTAATTAGAAGCGGCGGTGAGAGAAGAGCTGAAGAAGAGCGGCCGCCATGTTGGCACCATACGGAGCACCAAGTTGCGGCCACAACAATTCCTCTTGTTATGAGGAGCAGTTAATTAATAGACACGCGGAGGACGTCGACCGCGCCGGGGCCGCGCGTAATGAAAGAAAGAAAGAAAGCGAGCGAGCGAGCGGTCAGAGCAAAAATGAATCGGTCCTTATCGGACGACGGATCAAGCTTGCCTCGATTATTTTTCGCCTCCTCGTGTCTGGGAAAATGCAGCGCGAAATTTGATTTGGCCAGAGATAAAGGAAATTAAAAGCAAAAGGCACTTCAAAATTATAAAAAAATTGCAACTTTAATCAAATCATTGCAAAAACTTGTTTTTTTTTTATTTTATTTTTTTTTGTCTAAAGAAAGCAAATAAAATTTTTCAATGGAGAATTCATCACAGTTATAATTTGTTGATGCGCCTTTCAAGGAATATAATTTTGGTACGGTTTAATACAAATCCAAAATCTGAATCAGAACAAAAAAGAAACTCATTATTTATATTTTAACACATTTCTAAAAACGCTCTTATGGATGATGAATAGCAAAAATAGCAAATTAATTTTAATTCCTAATTATAATCATCAAAAAGTTTTTGCTCAATATTTTCCAATCTTTTCTCTCCAATACTTCATAGAAATTTATCAGAAAAATAAATGAAATATTTAAAATACATTTTTCTAGGAAATCAATTTGCTTTAAACGAAGAATTTGTTAAATTTTTTCTCTCCAAATGGGCTTGAATTTCAAATATTTGAAAGAAATTTTATCTCATTAATGAATGAATAATTTATCAGTCACGAAGAGTTAATGAAATTTTTCCATCGTAAATTTGACTAAATAATCTTACTATGATTTAAGACATTGAGAAAAGTTTTAAAATGCTTTTGGCGGGAACAGTTGTGCCTCAGGTGAATCTCTCAGGGGGTGCGAATTTTCTGCTTCGACCTCATCAACCGTGAAATTTTGATTTCTTCGGGTTCCAAGAATAAAAATAATTAGCGGGCCTTTCCCTTTAATATCTGATTTACTCCTTCAGGTGAGCACCGAAATTAAAAACATCTCTGCATAGGTATGTTGGCCGTCTGGAGGCTGACCTCGAGCATAAAAAATTGCACGCCGAAGGGTAATTAGCCGCGATTGTTTCGTTACTCGCTGGCATTTGGCAGCAAAATCAGCCATCTTAATAAAATTCCGGCTGCTCGGAGCGCAAAAGAGTGTGCACGTCGCGCTCTCGCTCGCATGGCAGGCCGGCTCTGATCTGTGAAGCGATTGGCTAACGTCTCCTTCTTGTTATTAATTACCATCGCGAGTGTACTTTAACCTGCAATATAACATCGTGCCCGCTTTTAATTTTCCCCCACAATGCAGCCGCAGCCAATGCACGACTCCTCGCAGCTCACAATTTTCGCATGTGTACATACACGTGGAAATTCCTCGTGTTAAAACGTCCGACAAGATCATGCTCTCCTTTTTCCGAGCCGTGTTCCGTTTGATTGTTGCGCCAATATGATATTGTTAGACGATTACACAACAATGCAGCCTTGTTCAACCAGAAAGAAATGCAGAAACACGCACGCGTCGGCGAAAAAATTTTATTATTTTCTTTTCTTCTCGTTTTAATCGATGTTTTTCTGTTCGCTCCGGAGAATGCCGCAGTGTGTGTATATTGAGCCGTTTGCGTTTAAGCCGTTTAATTTATTTAAACGGACATTGTGTGTGTGCGCTTGCTGAGAGAGAAAGAGCATCTCTCGAGACATAAAGTTATCATCCGGCGTGAAATACTGCGGCGTGACGTCCGCTCCGGCAGCCGTCCATTGTGTACTTATGCATGTTCCAGTGCACAGAGGTATTGAAATTTCAGAGGACAAATCAACGTCGTCATTGTCGTGATTTCTTTTCTCTTAAATTCAACACCGTTGAAGTTAAAAGTTCAATTGTCATAATTTTTTTAATATATAGAAATAATTCAAGTTTTCTACGATTTCTAAAAAAGAAAAATGCATTTTAAGGCATTGAATTTGAATGTTTAGAGCAAAAAAAATAATTCATGAAATGTTAACAGTATTTTCTTAACAATTGTCCTTGTCAGCTCAGCAGTTTGTCAGAAACCTGGTTATTTAATTTATTTTTAAATAATTAAAAATAAGACATAATCATTTTTTTTGACAATGCCTATTTTCCATTAAGTCACAAATTTTAAGTATAAGCACTGACTTCAGGTATAGCCAAAAGAATTTGGATTTCCCATTCTAATTAAGTATATTTACAAGGAGGTAATCACAAGTTATTTATTTTTTAAGTCTTTTAAAATCTAATTTGACACGATAAATGATTGAAATAAATGATTAATGTAATAAAATATATTATGTTTAATTAACAATGAAATTAATTAATTTAAAAAAAGGAACTGCTTAAAATTTTTAATAAAATAAGCACATTTTAATATCTAAATAAAAGTTTTAATATTATGGAATAATTATATTATATTATTTACTGTTAGTAAATTTTACATATCTCTTTGTACGATTTTTTCTGCTAAATATTTCTATGCGAACACAGATTTGTAGTTTTAATTTTTATTTAGCTGCGTCAAAAAATGTTTGCATTTTGTTCGTTTGAAAATGATATTTTCCCCCCCAAAGTTGAAAAAATAAAATAAATGATTTCTTTATTTTATTTTTGAATTGCATTAGAATAATTTCCCACTAGCAAAGGCTATAAAACTTATTTTTAGCCCTCAATCCTTTCTCTCTCTCTCTCTGCCCGAATGTAAATCAAACTTTTCAACGGGGCAGTGCTCCAAATGCACCGCCCAGCAAGTCGTCAAGGCAAACAATAAATTGTTTCACAGATGATAGCAAAATGATAATGCCCGCGATCAAAGCTGGTTTTCCGAGAACGGCGTAATTGTGCGATGGACGCAGGCAGGCTGCAGGTTTAATTATCGGAGAAATCCTCACTTTTCTCGAGCATCATCGTCGTCGCCGTAAAAGGGAATTAATTTCTGCAGTCGGCTCAGTGGAAAATTAATGGCATTGCTTTCGATTAATTTCAGCTCCAAGGATTATACGATTGTGTTTGAAAATTTTAACTGTATATACTTGTTTATATACATTACATGCATTTGCAGGCGTCTGTCTATATTGCGAACGAAGGTGGCGAGCTTTATAAATTTAATTACTGAGAGAGAGAGAGAGAAAGAAAGAGCAGTGCACTATCGCATCCTTTGAACACAAATCTCGACGTGCTCCGCAATAAATAACAGGCATCAGAGGCAGAGTGGCCGCGGCTAATGCACGTGAATGTGCGAACGATTACAGCAGCTCCGTCGGTGTAATTTCGATTCTGTGAATCGAACCTGACGGATCAATGAAGGAATGCAGTAAAGGTTTCAAGGATTTACAGTTGATCCTATAAATACGATTGCCCCGCGTTAGAAGAAACCAACTTGATTATCAAACACGTGGTTTTAAATTAAAAAATTAAAAATTAACCTAGTGTCAAAATTAATGATAATTTATAGTGGATCAATATAATGAAAAATAAATCAAATTTAATTTAATTACATCAGCGTAGAATAAATTTTTTTTGTCCAAATATTCAGGAGCACCAGGAAGACAGTTTTAAATTATAAGATATTTGAGAAGAGGAACGTTTGTGGACAAGAAACGGTGCCGCCTCCAGCAAACATTTTGCTAAAACACTCCAAGTCAAGAAGAAAACTCGTGTTGGAAGAGCTTTCAAACAAATTAACAAAAGTTATATTTCATCATTGATATTTGTCCCCACAACTTCAAGAGTGAAAACTGTTTTAGACATAAGCCCAAAATTTAACAAAAAGTTTGGAAGTTTTTAAAGTAATTCAATAATTGATATAATCTTTTTTCGCGAATAAAATAAATTAAGAGGCTCTTTGAATGAAAATATGTACACAAGACTATACAAGTAGTACATAAGTTTATGGATGCCCTTCAAATGAATTAATAATGATTTGATTAAATTCCTAAGAAAAATATTTTCTTTCAAATTCAAATTCAGATTAAGATTAATCAATCGTTTTTTCATGAAATTTATTTAATTATTATTTGTATTTTCTCAACAATCATCACGACTCATAGCACCTAGAGTATTTTTACATTGTATACTAATATTTTTTCGATAATTCACCAGTGTTGCACAATTGGGGGTATAAATAAAATAAACAAATTGGTATTATTTACTTATCCTGAATACTTAACTTTGAAAAAGAAATAAACATTTTGGCACGTTCTAAATAAAAAAATTTAAATAATTGTTAATAAATTTATAATATATAATAACACTTTAATTGCCTCTATTCATTAAAAAAATAAACATGTATCTAAAGGAGTTTATTTATTTAATAATCATTTTATTATTAAGTTACTGCAAATATTAAACGTTAAATGTTAAATTTTACTGGATATAAACATGAATGTTTTTTCAAGTGCATAAATTACAATAGTATGATGACTTAAATAAAAACCTTTCAATTTGTATTGGTTTTACCGATTAAAATTCATTGGCTTTTTAATATCAATTTAATAAAAACTTAGTTGGTCTGCATTATTTAACTGATGCAAGTTGTGAAATATTGTCGTGCACACTCTGCACCCATTTGTGATCAACAAGATCTCTAATGAGCTTGGGCAGCGATGGGACACTCAGTCATCCAGCATTAGTCGCTGCCGGCAATCAATATTTACACAATAGGCAGAGAGACATGAACGGCGGGATTGCTCAAACACACAAATCATCTGTGTAACAAAGCGCATCAGCGATCATCGTCGCGCAAATTGAATAATGCGGCAATAAATTACGAATTATGCGAATCGTGGCGGCCATTTTCGCGGGACGGGCAATTTATTTAACGACGACAGTGATAAAAGATGGTGATAAAGATTGAGTGCGTTGGAAGCA